TTTGCTAAAATTTCAAAATCAAAAGTTATCAAAACAAATTCTATGGGGCTGAGAAATATTATTTTCTGCTTTTTAGTCCATTTATAAAAGCGTTGTATATTAAAAAGTTTTTTTTTTATATTATTTATTTGCATTTCCGGAGACGACGTAAGCTTCACTTCTCCATTGTGGCGCAGGCGCACTTCCATTTTTAACCGACTCCCAAAAAAGGAGGAGGTTATCAGTTAATCGGAATATATATTTTTTTTTATGTATGTTACCGCATAACTTTGGATCACGTCAACCGATTTCGATAAATCTTGCATCGGAAAGGTAGTGTCTCAGAGGTGGTCACATACTAATCTCGTTTAGATCCGATCATATATGTATTTTGTTTTTAAGACGGTTTTTTTTTTTGCTAAAAATTACTTGTTTATATTTGGCAATTACTTTTCCAATTGAGTTGGTACGTACCAATCGGGTGACTGTTAAAACAATTTGCCCCCCAATTTTTATATTTTTTCCGAATAGACCACAATAAATTTTTTTTACAAATTTCTACAAATCTACTAATCGTGTGAAACAGCCTTAAGACTGCATGTTTCAAACGTTTGAAGTTTGGTTCTGACAAATGTATAACCGTGGGACATACTCGCATCTCATATAGGATAGTGAATGATTCGCGAGAGAAGATATTGACATTCGCAAGTATGAGTTTCTTAATACATATTCAAAACCCTTTCAAATCTAACCCAACCTAATGTTGCCTTGGGATAGACGATGGTAAATTGGCCTTCTGCATATCGTTGGACTAATTCGGAACCAGTGCAAAGTAATAATTCAGTTGCGATTTTAACTCCAACATATAGGAAAAAATAAGCAAAATATGTAAATACTAGTAGCTTCATATTAAAGTTGCCACCTAAGACCAGTTCAGTTCTGGTTCGAAGGGACTTAGTACGCTTTAATACTCTATACAAACTGAAATTTTAGAATCAGTTACTTCCTGCAGGGTATTCAATGTATAGTGACTATCTACGTAATTACTTGTATTATAATTTTTCTGCTGCTTACACGGAGTTCACGCAAAGTTCATTTCTCATAGCGTTTATTTAGACTGGCAGTCATTTTAAATATACAGACTATAGGCCAATTTCAAATTTTCATACCGCTCTGAA